TATATTATAGAACAATAGTAATAAACAATTTTTTGTATTGTTGGTTTGTGTAAACAAGTTTTATAACTTTAGTGAAAAGCATCCCTCTGGCAGGACAGTGATGGAGTGAATGATGGTGAAAGTTTTTCTTTTTCCGGCCACCTGCCTTGGTGGGAATTGGCCGATGTGTTACAAAAAAAAAATAATGATATTAATGTTTGTGTGGTTATTGTGTTGCATACAACGAGTATATGTATGTACATTGAACCTTACTTTGGTCTCACTGGCCACATAAGTTACTTGGAAAAAAAAAAAATATTGGAAAATACAAGAAACCTTCAAATGGGAATAAATGCAGTAGGGCCCCACTTATACGGCAGGTTAGGTTCCAGGTTGTCGCTGGAAAGCCGACATCGCCGGAAGGCAGAACGCCATTTTTTTCCATTTATAAATGCATATAGATGCCAGACAACAAGTTTACACTAAATTATATTAAGTTAGTGATAGAACTAGGCATTAAAAACACACAAAGTAAAATACATTCACAGTAAATTCATTACTTATCTTAAAGTATTTGTAATCTTAATGTAGGGAGAGAGGTGAGTAGTACTTATTTGTAGGAAGTCAGGTGCAGTTACCCAGGTGTAGGTAGCCCTGGCTCCCTGTCTCATACTTAATATACGATATTTAAAACATCCCAGACAGGTAAAATACACATACAGTACACTCATTATTTACCTTAAAATATGTGTAGTCTTAATATAGGAAGAGAGGTGAGTAGTATTTATTTGTAGGAAGTCAGTGTAGGTAGCTGGTGGGTGTAACCCGCCTGGGCTACACCTACCGGCTACCTACACTGTGGCCCAGAGCCATATTATTAACATCGACATACCTTGTTCACTGAATTTAATCATTTCTAACAACTACCTTTAGATGCCATCATAAACGAAGGGAGAAGTAATGAATAATTCATGCCGAAAATTATAAACAAAGCGGAGTGAGGGAGTGGCTGGGCCAAACGCAGATTCATACACGTTTTCTCTGATGGCTGAACAGAGAAAACGTAATGTCCCTCTGGCCGGCTACCACACAGCTCCACAAGTATTATTATCAGAGCACATAAAATATGCAATAAATGCCAGACAACAAGTTTACACAAACTTATATTAAGTTAGCAATAGAAATAGGCATTAAAAACACAATAAAAGGTAAGATACACACAGAGTACACTTACTACTTACCTTAAAATATTAAAATTAACCCCTTCAGGATCCAAGGCCCAAATCTGAAGTGGTGCCCCAGTGTCCAAGAATTTAAAAAAAAAAAATTTGTTATTTTTTCTTATGAAATGGTAGAGAATCTTTTTGTGAAGGTAATAAAACAAAAAGTACGAAATTTGATGGAAAATTGACGAAATTATGCTCTCGCGAATTTTGATGTGTCAGCGATATTTACGAATTGGCGATTTTGCCGACTTTGACTCCCATTTTAGGCCAATTACATTATTCCAGTCAACCAAATTCTTAGCTATTTCACTAGTATTACTTCTATTCTATTGATTGAGCACAAGAAATCGCCAAGTCAACTGTTTCAACTACAAATTAAAGTGATCGGAAATTGTTAATTTGGCCAATTTAACACAAAGTTCAAAATATTCCAATTTCAAAATAGGGTCCAGAATAAACAATGTAGGTATTCCTGGAACTAAACTAACATTTCCTCTGTTCATTAGTTACGTTTTGAGGCTTTACAAATAAATTCCATTTTGACTTTTTATTCACATAATGAATTTTTATTCACACCAAAAAATAGAAGATCTGCTGTTATGCAATACTGTAATAATTGTATAAATATCATCACCATATTTGTGAATGCATATTAGACCCACCAGCTGGCGTGTATTAGACGTGTGAGGTCGTTTGTTTACTCTTGAATATCAGCAAAAATTTAACATTTCTGCTACTTTGAGCTCAGGTTTAAGCCATTTCCAGTGCTAAAACCAATCAAAATCATCTTTATTTCTGTAATGTGTCTTCCATCCTATCAAATGAGACCAAGAAATCGCAAATACACGTATAAAAAACATATGAAAAAACACTGCAGAGTCACTGTTTTAATCGAAAAATCATGATTTCAGTTTTTTTCTCTCATTATACACAGTGTGCTGCAGGATCTGTTTTATGTGGTGCACACATACCACATAGATGTATTCTCTCATATCTAGGCCCAAATGTACCACTCACAGTTTATCAGAGTGAGCTGAGCTCATGACGTAGATCTACGGTTTGGACCCTGAACATAAAGCCGTAGATCTACGGGACAGACCCTGAAAGGGTTAATGTGTGAGAGGTGAGTGGCAGGGTGTTTATTGAATAAAATCAGAATGGCACACCATCATCCTCTAACTTGCCACTTAAAGCAAGTCTTACGACTTCTCTTTTTATCACAGCTAAGCTTAGACACCATCGTCAGTGAGAGCCAACTAGTTAACGAAAGAGTAAACGAGAGAGTGAACGAGATACAGAATTGAGACAACATAAGAACACAAACTGAACAGGTAGTGGACGATCACTTGGTCAAGCGAAATAAATGCGTATTAATATGTGTCTACTTTTAGTTCATTCACGTACATTTGTAAGAGTTTGTAAAACATTTACCTCAATATTTTTTTATTATAATAATAATTACCTCACAATACAAATACTCTTACATTGTGTACAAGTTGTACAAGTTAGTTCAGTATAAACAAACAGCAACACACCATTTTTAGAGTGAATGAAGATAATAATATTAATAATAATAATAATATTATAGGTAGTAGGTTGGTAGACAGCAACCGCCCAGGGAGGTACTACCGTCCTGCCAAGTGAGTGTAAAACGGAAGCCTGTAATTGTTTTACATGATGGTAGGATTGCTGGTGTCCATTTTTCTGTCTCATAAACATGCAAGATTTCAGGTATGTCTTGCTACTTCTACTTACACTTAGGTCACACTACACATACATGTACAAGCATATATATACACACCCCTCTGGGTTTTCTAATTTTTTCTTAATAGTTCTTGTTCTTGTTGTTTATTTTCTCTTACCTCCATGGGGAAGTGGAACAGAATTCTTCCTCCGTAAGCCATGCGTGTTGTAGGAGGCAAAAATACCGGGAGCAAGGGGCTAGTAGCCTCTTCTCCTGTATATATTACTAAATGTAAAAGGAGAAACTTTCGTTTTTCCTTTTGGGCCACCCCACCTCGGTGGGATACAGCCGGTGTGTTGAAAGAAGAAGAATAATAATATTAATATTAATTATAATAATATTATTATTATTATTATAAAAAGCACTAAACCCACAAGGGTCATGAATTGCTATATATAGAGTAGAGGCATACGAAAAGAATATTTTTCTACAGTTATCCCCCAGTTTGACTAGAGAAAACGTAATTCTTCCGACACTACCTACACAGCTGCTTTGTAAACAAATCTTCTATTTACATCAATTTTTATTCTGTGAGTGTATGTATCATGTTTATATGCTATGTAATGGGTTTCATATATAATTTTGAGGAAAATATCATAGATGGATTAATGAAAATGCATATATTGATGTAAAATAAGACATTTAGTGTGCCCAAGAGTGATTATTATTACGTAGTATTGGCGTCATGAGTTGAGAGAGACTTAGCGATTTTAATATGTACCTGCACACCAGCACAGTGTGTAAGTATATTTAGGTACAGGTACACATAAGTATAATTATCAGAGTACGTATAAAATATGCAGTAACACTTGAAATTTTGGAAAGCTTCCTGACACAATAGATGTGGTCACGGAAAATGTAAACAAACCGGGTGGGGCGCGCCGTATTTGAAAGGCCACTTGCTGTATAGCAAATTTTGGTCATAATTTGACATCGCTGTATTAGCGGAATGCCGTAAGGTGAAATGCCTTAAAGCGGGGCCTTACTGTATAAGTGTACTGGGTGAGCGGCATTCGCCGCTGTTGCCATATGTGGCTCATATTCTGTCAACTTTACGCCTCTATAACTCGGTAAGTACTGATAGCAAAAATTTTTTTAAGCTTAAAACATTCGGTAAATTAATCCTAACATTTCGGTAAGAAAAAATCATTTTTTTTTTTTGCGCGACACAGGGAGACAGTTTCAGAATTGGGGTTGCGACAGTCAGAGGGTTAAGTAAGATACATCAGCATTGAAGGTTTGAAGGTGATCGGATAAGGCATTCACAAACTCTCACTAAAGCCAATATTTGTATTCAGAGACATCATCTGGAAAAATTGCATTCATCACTTTTATGGTTTGCCTCATCTTTCATAGACCCATCTACCGACAAATCCACTCTCAACTATCTGAACACATTCACTTCCTCCAAACTCTCTCCTTCCAATTTGATATCCAATTTTTCATTACCAAAATTTTTTTTTACTCTCGTCACCTTGCTCTTTCCTATGTTCACTTTAAATTTCTTTCTTTTGCATACCCTCCCAAATATATCCATGTACCTTCGCAACTTCTCTTCAGAATCTCCCAAAAGCACTGTGCCTTAGGTGAAAAACAACTGTGACAACTTCTACTTTGTGGTAGATTCTTTATCTTTTAATCCTTAATAATATCTTATAATATCTAAATCATACATTGTAAACTTTGCAAAGACATAAAAATTTGAATTTGAATAACCATGGTGACATTATGCATCCTTGTATTAGGGTAACTTTTTCTTGAAAATAATCTCCCTCTCTCCTACAGCATGAGCCTCACTATCTTCATAAAAGCTCTTGACTGCTCTAAGTAACGTATCACCTATTCCATTCATTTGCAACATATGCTACATTGCTTCCCTATCCCCCTATCATATTCCTTCTCTATCCATAAATTCAGTGAAACTTCTTCATCTTTTATATAAATATTGTTCACTTGGTCTACACATTATTATTATTATTATTATTATTATTATTATTATTATTGTTGTTGTTGTTATGATTATTGTTATTAATTGCAATTTCTCTTTTAAGGTATACCTTTATTATGGATTAGACAACTTCTATCAAAATCATCGTCGATATGTCAAGTCTCGGGATGACAAGCAGCTGCTGGGCAGAGATGATACAACTGTCTCTAATGACTGTAATCCATTTGCTACAGATTCTGAGGGGAGGGTGTATGCACCATGTGGGGCAATTGCCAACAGCATGTTTAATGGTAAGATAAATCTTAAAAACAATTAAAGAAATGAACACTGATTTTGCAAATTTATATTCAGTAGCAACAATTATTTTTGAGAAAATTTCTTAGCTGTCCTGATTTATATAAACAGTTTGTACTCAAGTGAACTTTCAATAGGTCATCCTACAAATTTACATATTTCAGTATTTGTGTATATTTATTTTCATTTTTTTTTTTTTTTTATCAAAAGGCAGGGTGACCTAAAAAGAAAAATGAAAGTTTCTTTTTTTAAATTTAGTAATGTGTACAGGAGAAGGGGTTACTAGCTGCTCGTTCAGCATTTTAGTTGCCTCTTGTGACACACATGGCTTACGGAGGAAGAATTCTGTTCCACTTCCCCGTGGAGATACATTATTATTATCCAGTGTTATTACTGATGGACAACCAGTGAATGGATTAAGTTACCCAACATTTTCTCTCTCAATGGCTTTCCAACATTTAAATTTTCATTCTCTATTCTAATGATCGTCAACATTAACCCTTTGACTGTTTCGGCTGTATATATGTCTTACGAGCCAGTGTTTCAGACGTATATATACTCAATAATTCTAGTGGCTTCAAATCAAGTAGGAGAAAGCTGATAGGCCCACATGTGAGAGAATGGGTCTGTGTGGTCAGTGTGCACTGTATAAAAAATATCCTGCAGCTCACAGTGCATGAGAGAACAAAAACTCAGACTGTGTTTTTGCATTAAAATGCCGACTTTGAGGTGTATTTTCCTATAGTATTTATGGTTGTATTCTCATTTTCTTGGTCTCATTTGATAGAATGGAAAACATATTACAGAAATAGACATGATTTTGATTAGTTTCACGATGAAAGCAACCTTGAAATTGAGCTCAAAGTAGTGGAAATGTTCAATTTTTACCAATGTTTAAGAATAAGCAAATCACACCACACGTCCAATACACATTAACTGGGGAATCTAATATTCTTTCACTAGTGCACTGATATTATTTATACCATTTTTACAATAATGCAGTAGTCTACATAACAGTAAATCTTCTATTTTTGGTGTGAATAAAAAATCAAAATAGAAAGCAAGAGTAATATAAGAGGGGGCTGGAGACGTGACTAATGAACAGAGGATATGTTATTTTAGTGCCAAGAATATCTGCATTGTTTATTCTGGACCCTGTTTTGAAATTGGCATTTTTTTAATTTACGTGAAATTGGCCAAATTGCCAATTTCTGACCACTTTATTGGGTAGTTGAAATTGGTAAATGGGCAGTCTCTTGTACTCAGTTGATAGAAAAAATGGAGTTCTAAAGCAATAGCTATGAGTTTTGTCGACTGGAACAATGGAATTGGCCGAAAATAGGGCTCCTCCTAATTATTATTATATACTTACACATATCCAAAACATTGCTGGGATTTATAAATACTTTGTATATATTCCAAGACAATAGTAAATGACCAAGGCAGGTGTAAATGTCCACCTGTCACTGCGTTTGTGACAATTTGAGTACAATTTCAGTACCTAATACTAGTATCAGAACAAAGATTGGTTATGAAATGACAAGAACTACTATAAATTGTAATTATCAGAACATAAAAATTTTATAAAATAATATGAAAAATAGAAAAAAGGTATATCGGCAACACTTCTGCAAGCGGCAGGACTCCATGTTGCCGTCACATGAGCATCCAGTGCCAACTTCTCAGCCTCATATCTCGGTAAGTACTGACCCTAATTTTTTTTTATTCTAAAACACTTAAAAAAATGTGCTCTTTTTTTCTATGATTTTTTTTTTTTTTTTTTTTTTTTCAAAAATATTGGGGGCACTGCGCAAGTGAACATATATATACGTTTGGACCGTTTAAGGGTTAAATACAGTGGAATGTCGGTTGTTGAATTTAATTCATTCCAGATGTCAATTCGACAACCAAAATGGACAATAGCTGAAGCAATTTTTCCCATAAAGAATAATGTAAACAGAATTAATCCATTCCAGACTCCAAATGACAATATAATTTATTAAAAATGTACTCCTACATAAAACTGTAAAAATGAATACTAAAACAAACTTTAACTGAAATACTGTACACTAAATTAAAATTTAACTGCCTCTTACCTGTCAGAGGAGAACTAATGGCATACTGGAAGCAGGTGGTGGTACAGGAGAAGAGGGGTATTTTACTGCTTAGAAAGAGAATCACTTTTTATTTATATGCCAGGCAACTGTCCTTCTGGTGTTCTCTTCTTTGTCTCTCTTCACCAATGGCTTACTGATTCTTTGTCTCACTAAAAATCTGTGCAGTGAGGTTTGTCTCAGGCTCTGGTTTAACACTTGTTTAAATTGAGACATTACACAGTCATCGTACATGTTCGAGAGATGGATGGCCAGTGCCTTGTCTGGATGGCATTTTTCAGCAAACTCCTGCACTTCATGCCATTTAGCACACATTTCCTTGACAAGTGCAATGGGCACATCATCCCTTCAATCCTCTTCCTCTGATGACAGCTTCTCCACTGCAATCTGTTGCTGCTGCTCCTGAAGGTCGACAAGTCCTCCATAACATATACAGTCACTTCTAGGCTCATGGTCTTCCCCAGGGACACAATATCCTTTACTAGCTTGGGCTCATTTTCAAAGCCTATATACACGATATATACGCATTGGCGAAATCACCAATGCGTATACAGTGGACCCTCGACTAACACTATTAATCCGTTCCTGAGAGCTCATCGTTAGTCAAAATAATCGTTAGTAAAGTTAATTTTCCCCATAAGAAATAATGGAAATCAAATTAATCCGTGCAAGACACCCAAAAGTATTGAAAAAAAAATATTTTAACACATGAAATATTAATTTTAATACACACAAACTGAAGAAGACATGCACAGTTACATGACACTTACCTTTATTGAAGATCTGGTGATGATTGATGGGATGGGAAGAGAGGAGTGTGTTGATGGTCTTAGTGTTTAGAAGGGGAATCCCTTTCCATTGTGACTTGAGGTGGCAAGTCCTTTTTCGGGGATACTTCCCTTCTTCTTTTAATGCCACTAGGACCAGCTTGAGAGTCACTGGACCTCTGTCGCACAACATATCTGCCCATAGAGGCCTGTACCTCCCGTTCCTTTATGACATTCCTAAAGTGTTTCACAACATTGTCAGTGTCACCATTAAACACTTGTTCAGGTTTCAGTCCTTCACTGTCTATGTACTCCTTGAATTCCTGCATATATTTTTCAGCTGCTTTTTGGTCCAAACTGGCAGCCTCACCATGCCTTATCACACTATGTATGCCACTACGATTCTTATTAAATCTCTCAAACCAACCTTTGCTGGCCTTAAATTCACTCACATCACCACTAGTTGCTGGCATTTTTCTAATTAAATTGTCATGCAACTTCCTAGCCTTTTCACATATGATCGCTTGAGAGATGCTATCTCCTACTATCTGTTTTTCGTTTATCCATACCAATAACAGTCTCTCAACATCTTCTATCACTTGCGATCTCAGTTTCGAAAACATAGTTGCACCTTTGGCAAGAACAGCTTCCTTGATTGCCGTTTTCTTGGCCACAATAGTAGCGATGGTTGATTGGGGTTTTGTGTACAGCCTGGCCAGCTCGGAGACACGCACTCCACTTTCATACTTAGCAATGATCTCTTTCTTCTTATCCATAGTAATTCTCACCCCTTTTTGCTGTAGGGTTGGCACTAGAAGCTTTCTTGGGGCCCGTGGTAACTTATTTTGCAGGTGCAATCACTAAAAAGGCTGTGATAATAAGAAATGTTCCGATTGTATGCTTGGAAGCAACCGCGGTGGCTGGCTGGCTTGTAAACACTGGCCAGAAGTGGACGCGTCTCAGACGGAACGAATAGTGTTGGTCGAGTATTTTAGCGCTAATCGAGGCAAAATTTTTGCGATAAAATGTATCGCTAGTCAGATTTATCGTTAATCGATGCCATCGCTGGTCGAGGGTCCACTGTATATCGCCAAGATCGCTAACTTCGCGGGAGTGCAATTCCGTAAGTTTTCGATCAAATTTCGTACTTTTGGTGTCATTACCATTGAGAAAAGGTTCTCCATCATTTCATAAGAAAAAAATATTTTTTCTTTTTTCCAAAAATTTTTCGGCACCAGGAGACACTTCAGGATTTGGGGTTGCGACAGTCAAAGAGTTAACCAAATTAGATTGATGTATTAACCCTTTGACTGTTTCAGGCCCCTTTCTGAAACTGTCATTCTATGTCGCTCAATTTTTGAAAAAAAAAAATTATTTTTTCTTATGAAATGATAGAGAATCTTTTCCCGATGGTAATGACACCAAAAGTTCGAAATTTGGTCGAAAACTCATGTAATTATGCTCCCGCGAAGTTAGCGGTCTCGGCGACATATGCGAATCAGCGATTTCGCCGACTTTGAGCCCTATTTTCAGCCAATTCTATTGTTCCAGTTGACCAAACTCATAGCTATTTCTTTAGAACTCCATTTTATCTATCAGCTGAGTACAAGAAACCTCCCATTTACTAATTTGGACTACCCAATATGGTGGTCAGAAATTGGCAATTTGGCCAATTTCATGCAAACTAAAAAAGATGCCAATTTCAAAATAGGGTCCAGAATAAACAAGGTAGACATTCGTGGCACTAAAATAACATATGCTCTGTTCATTAGTCACATCTCTAGGCCCCTCTTATATTATTATTGCTTTCTATTTTGATTTTTTATTCATACAAAAAAATACAAAATTTACTGTTATGGAGACTACTGCATTATTATAAAAATGGTATAAATAATATCAGTGCACTAGTGAAAGAATATTAGACTCCCCAGCTGACGTGTATTGGACGTGTGGTGTGATTTATTTACTCCTGAACATTGGTAAAAATCGAACATTTCCGCTACTTTGAGCTCAGTTTCAAGGTCGTTTTCATCGTCAAAGTAATGAAAATCATCTCTATTTCTGTAATATGTTTTCCATTTTATCACCTAAGATCATGAAAACGCGAATACAACAATAAATACTATACGAAAATACACCTCAAAGTCGGTGTTTTATTCCAAAAAAACGATCAGTTTTTTTTTCTCATTACGCAATGTGTGCTGCAGGATTTTTTTTATGTGGTGCACACTGACCACACAGACCCATTCTCTCACATGTGGGCCTACCAGCTTTCTCCCGCTTGATTTGAAGCCGCTAGAATTATTGAGTATATATACGTCAGAAACATTTCCAAATCCATAAATGCCACAAAGACCTCTTTAGCTTTATCTAAATACTGTTCACTTATATGTTTCACTGTAAACACCTGGTCCACACACCCCATACCTTTCCTAAAGCCTCCTTGTTCATCTGCTATCCTATTCTCTGTCTTACTCTTAATTCTTTCAATAATAACTCTACCATACACTTTACCAGGTATACTCAACAGACTTATCCCCCTATAACTTTGCACTCTCTTTTGTCCCCTTTGCCTTTATACAAAGGAACTATGCATGCTCTCTGCCAATCCCTAGGTACCTTACCCTCTTCCATATATTTATTAAATAATTGCACCAACCACTCCAAAACTATATCCCCACCTGCTTTTAACATTTCTATCATTATCCCATCAATCCCAGCTGCCTTACCCCCTTTCATTTTACCTACTGCCTCCTAGGTAATTTATACTATGTATACTTGTACAGTGGACCCCCGGTTAACGATACTTTTTCACTCCATAAGTATGTTCAGGTGCCAGTACTGACCGAATTTATTCCCATAAGGAATATTGTGAAGTAGATTAGTCCATTTCAGACCCCCAAACATACACGTACAAACGCACTTACATAAATACACTTACATAATTGGTCGCATTCGGAGGTAATCGTTATGCGGGGGTCCACTGTATTTATGTGTACCTGTGAGACAGAGATAGATTGAAAGAGATAGACAGATAGACAAAAGCAGAGACAGACAGATGCAGATAGACAGACACAGATAGAGACAGACAGACAGGAGATAGAGACAGACAGAGACAGATAGACAGAGATTGACAGACCCTAAACTTGGTGTTAACATCACTTTCCTGTTAAAAGAGGAGTGTTAATATGATATTACATCATTGAATCCTTGGTGTTTGCTGCACTGTTTGCTCTAGCTGGTGCTCAATTTAAGTGGCTCTCCCACAAGGTACTAAGTGGTCCCAGATTTTTTTAATACTGCGCACACCGAGTGTTAAGACCAATTTTATGCTGACCAGGCATCTCAGGCCAGTCCTGCCAAATTTGGAGGCAGGAAAAATAAAACGTATATATACGTTTGGGGGCACTACGCAATACGTTTGGACCGTTTAAGGGTTAATAGGTCTTGAATTTCAGCTTTTCTGTAGCGAGAGAAGGAATAGGAATGATTTAATTTTTTTTAACATGTTGGCTGTTTCCCACCAAGGCAAAGTGACCCAAAAAGCAAGAAAAACACAAAAAGAAAGAAAAAATAATTTCATCATTCAACACTTTCAGCATCACTCACTGTCTTTGCAGAGGCGCTCAGATAAGACAGTTTAGACGTCCCTCCAAACTGCCAATATCCTAAACCCCTCCTTTAAAGTGCAGGCATTGTACTTCTCAATTCCAGGACTCAAGTCTGGCTAACCGGTTTTCATGAATCCCTTCACAAAATATTACCCTGCTCACACTCCAACAGCTCCTCAGGTCCCAAAAACCATTCATCTCCATTCACTCCTGTCTAACATGCTCATGCATGCTTGCTGGCAGTCCAAGCCCCTTGCCCACAAAACCTCCTTTACCCCTTCCCCTCCCAACCTTTTCAGGGCGACCCCTACCCCACCTTCCTTCCCCAGTAGATTTATACGTTCTCCAAGTCATTCTACTTTGTTCCATTCTCTAAATGACCAAACCATCTCAACAGCCCCTCTTCAGCCCTCTGACTAATACTTTTAGTACTCCACACCTCCTAATTTCTATACTACAAATTCTCTGCAAGATATTTACACCACACATTGCCCTTAGACACGACATCTCCACTGCCTCCAGCTGCCTCTTTGCTGCAGCATTATAACCCATGCTTCACACCCATATAAGAGTGAATGTACCCTTATATTATCATACATTCCCTTCTTTGCCTCCATGGATAACTTTGTCTTCACAGATACCTCAACACACCACTCACCTTTTTTCCTTCATCAATTCTATGGTTTACCTCATCCTTCATAAACCCATCTGCTGACAAGTCAACTCCCAAATATCTGAAAACATTCACTTCTTCCATACTCCCTCCCTCCAATGTGATATCCAATTTTTCTTTATCTAAATTGTTTGATACCCTCATCACCTTACTCTTATCTATATTCACTTTCAACTTTCTGCCTTTATATACCCTCCCACACTCGTCCACTGACCTTTCCAATTTTTTTTAGAATACCCCAGAAGCACAGTAAAATGATAGGGGAAATAAATATCTGAAATGCATTAGAAATGTTAATATATTGTTTTGTATATTTTTACAGATACATTGAGGCTCTTTGAAGTACAAGAGAGTGGTAGCACAGAGCTGAATTTATTAAAGACAGGAATTGCTTGGCCTTCAGATCGTAAAATCAAATTCAACAATCCTCCTGGGCCTTTAAATGCAAGTGGAGGTATGAAAGATATTAAAGTTTTTGTTATAACTTTGTTCTACTTACTTCTGTTATGTAACATAATGTAAGCATTCATTCAGCTTATAATTTCAGCATAGTTAATACAAATTTAATCTGTTCCATTCACTGTCAATATTTTATTCTTTTTCCTATTCTTTTCTTACTGCTGTCTCTTTATTTAATCATCTTTCTCTTTTTCCTATCTTTCCTCTCCTATCTCATTATTTTTTCTTGTTGTTAATATTTCATTACTTATTCACCTAGATTTTCAGTGAATAAGGATATGATTTCCTATGTAGATTTATCAAGGAAATAACTGTAATACCACTTTGACTTATTTAGAAGCCTAGACTTAGGAATATCTTTCTTCTTCTTTCAACAAATTGGCCATATCCCACTGAGGTAGGGTGGCCCAAAAAGAAAAAACGAAAGTTTCTCTTTTTTAATTTTAGTAAGAGGAAAGTTGGGGTTTTTTTTTTTAGTTGGTGATTTGACTTGTGAAAATTAACTCAAAATACGAGTTAAGTCAAGGAGTGATTACGGTTGTATGTAGTATTGTCCTTGAGAGAGCACAATCAGAGTTAAGCTACTGTTGGCAGCCTGTCTTATGGTGAAATAACTTTCATCTGGCTGCTCACAAAAAATTAAACCAAATAGGGAAACCTTGAGAACATTGGCATTGCACAGTACATAGGAGTATGAATGCTGTCATCTCTCCAGTGTTGAAGGCTCAACTGAAATGACAAGATCCACTTATGCCAGGTCAGGATAATAGAGAAATTATCTTGTGCAGTCCTCAATTTTACCCAGAAATCTGGGATAGGATAAGGAAAGAGAAAGAATATTTCATTCTTGAATTGAGGCACTTGTGCCTCACATGGAGGTTTGTAGTCTTAACTGTTTTGTATGTACAAGATTTCCCTCTGCTGTAATTTTTGAGTCTTATTTACTTGTAGATTTAGATTTCATATCTAGGCTATAATTTTTTTTTTTTTTCAAAGAACCATATCTTTTTGGAAACCCTGTACTGGTTGGGAAATGGATTTTATAGTTTGTCTGTGATTACAGGTTTACTTTATGTCATATGTTATTTTTATAATACAAGGCAAAAGCTGAATGATTGGTCATGTGTATAGATTGTATATTTGCATAAGATATAAAATTACTTTGTATTTCCAAATTTTAGATGAGTCTTGTAAAATAAGTTGATTTCTATAGTTATATAAAATCAAATTTCCCTACTCTTTTACAGCTTTCAAAAATAATGTGAAACCTCTATACTGGACAAAGAATGTGTATGACTTGGACCCAGACGATCCCAACAATAATGGGTATAAGAATGAAGATCTGATTGTCTGGATGAGAAGTGCTGCTTTCCCAACATTCCGTAAACTGTACAGAAGGATTGATCACAACATGACAGGATTTAAATTTGGCCTTCATATAGGCACATATTATCTTGAAGTAGAGTACAGGTATCCAGTAGACTCATTTGGTGGCAAGAAGCGAATGATCTTATCAACCACAAGCTTCCTTGGTGGCAAGAACAACTTTTTGGGAATTGCATATATCACTGTTGGCTGCATTTGTTTATTACTGGGGATCATATTCCTCATTATCCACATCAAGTTTGGCAAAAGGTGGGTATAATTACAGTATTTTTATAGATCTTTTTAAAGAGCTCTGTAACTGCTTTCTTGATGTTTTCAGTTTGTGTATTCATTTATCTGAATTTGTGTACACAAAAGGAAATGAATATAAAAAAAATCAGAGATTGGTTAATGAAATATAAATTATATTTCAAGCTGAAGAGTATGTCAAGAATAGATGACATTTATGGGTTCCAGAGCTGGAGATAAATTTTGTAGAAATACATGAATTGAAATTATAAAGAGCACATGTGATTCATTTATACCACAGGAAAGAGAATGTATGAAGTAGAAGAATGTGCATTCTAAAAATGGGAATGTGTTAATAAAAGTATACTGCAGCATACAAGGAAACATTACCAGTCCATCATTTGAATAGTGAACTCTTTGTTGTACTAATGGATGTGAAAAGTCATATTATAGTGTGGATTGAGAAGTGATGTAGGAGGTTACATGTTAGTTTATACTTGCCTATTTGTACTTGCCTCACGAAATCGTAATGACAAGATTGCAAACAAACTATACTACGGGCGGGATTAGAACCCACGATCAGAGAGTCTCAAAGCTCCAGACCATCGCGTTAGCCACTGGGTCAGCTAGCCACAATAAGATTCCTCCAACTAGGTTTTTTTTTTTTTTTTTTCAACAAGTCGGCTGTCTCCCACCGAGGCAGGGTGACAACTAGGTATATTTATACATAAATATATTTTACAGATTTATGGCAAAATTTACTCTGCTTATTCAGCAGAAAATGCCCTTGCTTATCCAGCGGAAAACACCCTTGCTTATCTGACAGAAAACACCCTTGATTTTTAGGCCTAATTCACCAGTTTGGCTTATTTGGCACAGCATTTTCATACGTATATACTGCATATACAAATATAACTTCTTCTTCTTTCAACAAACTGGCCGTATCCCACCGAGGCAGGGTGGCCCAAAAAGGAAAACAAAAGTTTTTTTTTTTTAAATTTAGCAATTTATACAGGAGAAGGGGTTACAAATATAACTATGGTAATAAAATTGGAAGAAATTTAAGTGTCTAAACTCTAAATAGTTCTTCTTTTATTTCCAGAGCTGTTGATCAATTGAATATCAATCAGAACACACCATATAGTGACTGATGTGTCCACAGAAATTTCAGCTGGTATTACAAAAGTTATAAAATACTTTTGGCTGCATAGTCTCCATCATATATAATGTTGGTTTTGGTGTTGTATCATTTCAGTTAGTGTATAATAAATGATATATAACCCATCATAATGGAAGTGGTTATTCACACAATAAAACTGATCTCTTTGTTATTTGTCAAATTAAGTGTTTGTTCTTAAAATGGTAAAAAATAAATCTTGTACAGCAGCATTCATTTATAATACAATAAAATCTTTAAGAAAAATATGGAGACATTATAGGAGTAGTGCTCCATGTGGTAATCATATTTTTTACTAGTATGGTGGTCCCCCCATATCCTCGGGATATTCAGTAGAACCCCAGTATCTGCTGATTCGGTATCTGCAGTTTCAGTTATCCACGGTTTACTGTGGCCCAAAAATACCTCTTAATTTTGCATAATGGCCCCAAAGTGGAAAAGTACAGAAGCTGGCAGTTCTTCAAAGCCTCAGAGAAACTGTGAAGTGCTTCCCCTCAGTGAAAAGTGATAATTCTCCACTTACTGTGCATAATTTATCAATTAACTCTATAATATGTATGTATAGGACTTATATGTAGGGTTTGCTATTATCCACGGTTTCAGTAACCATGGCAGGTCCTTGGAACATATCCCCCCATGGATACAGGGGCCTTATTGCACGTTCCAAGACCTACTGTGGATACCCGAAATCGCAGATAGTAGTGAACCCTCAGTTGTTTTTTCATTTACATACCTATGATAAAGTTTAATTGATAAATTACACACAATTAGTGGAGAATTATAACTTTTTTACTGATGAGAAGCACTTCATGGCTTCTCTTAAGTTTGAAGAACTGCCACCATCACTACTTTTGTGCTTTGGGGGTCATTATTAAGCAAAATTAAGGGTTATTTTTGGGCCACAGTAAACTGGATAACTGAAACCATGGAAACTGAATCTTCTGATATGGGGGTCCTACTATATTGCATTGTGAATGAATTAGAAATGTAGTCACTCATCATCTGCACTGTAATAGATAAATTTGTGCATTTCCTCACAGTGTTGACCTCTGTGATAATACAGTCATCTTGAGTTTTTTATTTATTATTATTATTGCTGTTGCTGATGCTACTTCAAAGCCAAAGAGTTACTGATGGGTTTAACTCTCGGTAACCAAAAAAAAATTACTTTTATTTTTACATTCACATCAGAATTATGCCTTTAATATATTGTAGTCAGAATGTCCTGTTACGCTTGTGTGTCAGTCGGCCTGCTTTTTGAGTAGCCAGGTTGACAGTTAATAGGCATATTATTGAGCTTTTCATTGGGATAGTAGTGGGATTTAAGTTGAAGTATCTTTTGTTTGGCACAGTACCACAAAACTAGTTTGACTAGTACTTAAAACTGCATAGCAAATTATAACGTGCTCAGAATTGTCTTATTTTTCTTTCATAGCATGTGGTTTTTAAATTGCATGTCAGTATTGCAGCAAAGACTTAAAAGGTCATAATTTAAAGTGGGTGAGGTGTGTTCTTTTAAAATTCAGGTCATTAAAAAGATGTTTTTATTAAAGCTGTTACAATACAGGAGTTTTACAATGAAATACTACTACAATGTAGTAAAATTTAGGAATATTTATCTTCATACACATGATGTCATCTTTAATGCTAATATTTTCTTTTAATGCCAGGTTTTGAACAGCTGTGTGAAAGTTGATCAGTTGGTTATGTTTGTGTATCTGTTTAAATATTTTAAATATAAATATACAGATTTGCATTATATTTAGTAGTCAATAGTACGTAATGATGAAAAGTTTTAATAGTTTGGAAAATATGTAGTACAGCAAAACCTCTAATTAATGGACCTGCATTTAACAGATTTTGTTAATTATAGACAAAAAAAATTGGCCAGACTAACATTAGAATCATTTGACAAAATGGAATAAAGTCCGTAATTCTGGACTTTGACTATAGCAAGTGCCCAGTTGTCTCCTGAATCATTGAACCAAGTTCAATGACTCCAACATTTGTTTGGTACTGGCCAGAGCAGTCACTTCCAGGACCTGTCTGTATTCATTGTTTCCTGAGCTATAGGCCATCCTTTCCAGTTTGTTTGTGCATACACTCATCACTCAGTTTATAATTTTTCTTGAATTTACAGTGTTTTGTGTGACTTGATTAACATACGTATTAAGTAAAATACTGTTAACATTGGCTTCTAAAGCAAGTGGTGGTGCCAAGAAACGTGTGGTTCTCAGTTTTAAGCATAAACTTCAACTAATAAAGAAGGCTGAGTCTGGCATCTCAGTGGCACAGATATGTGAGCAATAGGGTGTTAAGAAACATTGCTTGATATTTGTAAAGGCAAAGGCAAACAGATTATGCTCTTAAGTTTAATGTAGATGCTAGCCATAGAAGTTCAGCAGTTGGTACTGAAAACTATATGAAAATAGCCCATGATAAAAAACTTGAAGAAACAGTGCATCACTGGTATGTTCAGCAACATTCTGTTGGTGTTAATGTTCATAATGTTGGCCTTTAGTCTGCAGCTAATAGGCTGGCAAAGCATATGAAGATAGAACATAACATTGAACATACCCATCTACATTTTCACTAGTAGAGCTTTACAGCTCCTCTGACTGAATGAAAGTTATTGAGTCACCAGTATCGATCACAGCAGTTTACACCTCATCTCTACACCGCAAAAAGGTAAATAAAATTCCTGTAAATTACTTACTATAAAATTGCTGTACAGTACTACAGGTTATATTACCCATATTTTTAGTGTCTGGTAGTCTTTTGAATCAGTGGACCAAGTTCACTGATTCAGAACTTTGTCCGTTTATATTACAGTCATGGAAAATTAATTTTGTATTTTAGAAGTTATACAAACGGAAATATTGTACCTTCCCTTCCTGTTAGTCCATTAATTAGAGGGTTCACTGTACATTAAAAACTGATAATGCTTTCTTGTGAAAACCAGGATTTGCAGTGTGATACCGTCTCAAGTGGGCAATCGAACAGATTTCATTAATTTTGATCATGCAGCAAAAAAAAATTACATTCATAGATGGATGTACATGTTTGTGTGTGCAGATGTGTGTATATTAATCTACTCACAATCTACTCTAGTGCAAAATTTTGTTGAGAGTCTGTACTCTATGAATGTATTTCTAATAACTTTTAAAGTGTTAGCTAATAAATTTATTCTATTAAGTAATATGTCTAAATACAGTGCTGAAATACTGTATATTATCACTAGGTTCTTGTCTGAATATTGATTGACTGGATATGTTAGTATTTGAAATCATTAAATAATAATCACATTTTATCATTGTTTATAAATTTAATAATTAATATTTGGAAAATGTGTTAAGGATGATATATTTCCATTTTATCTCAGTATGTAGTTGATATATTTGTTATTAATTCATTTTTTCTTCTATTGTAATTAATGTATGATATATATGTCTGCACTACTCTTGAAAGATAGTGATTGTGTGAATGATGGTGAAAGCGTTTTTTTTTTTTTTTTTGGGGGGGGGGGGTCACCCTGCCTCTTTGGCAGATGGCCAGCGTGTTTAAAAAAATAAATATAGATGTCATTACTGTACACAGGTTTTCTGTTGCATCCTTTTCATTTGTGCACTTAAGAAAATTTTATTTGTAAGTAGAAAAACATTGATTTAATTGGAAGCAATGGTAGCCTGTACTGAATGCTGCAGATTTCATCATCTATAAAAACTGCTTTGTTTTACAGGCATATTTTTTCATGAGTACACATTACTGTGTAGGAAATGGGTACAGAAATCTTCATAGCCCTACTGTTCTTTGCTTGTCCTCTTAATCCACTTGTTTGGAATACCAAAGCTTTGCGATTACATGTCTACATGTGGGTACCTACATTTGTTAATCTTTTATGCACTTTTCCAGAGATAAATGAGGATCTTTCAAAATTCAAGAGGAAACATTGCACAGTAGTTTCCATACAATACAGAAAACTGTCTTGTTTGCTTGGGTTATATTCCTAGAATACACAACAAATACCAAAACTGCAAGTGTCTCTACACTACACTCATTTGATGTTATGAATTGATAATTGTTTGCAGGTCAGATTACTTGTGATTTTGTTGGTGTTAGACAGGAAGTAATAAAGTATGGATCATCATATTGGGATTACTAGTCAGAAGTGGTGCATATGGTGATGCCCAAGGTAATGGCTGTGGCGGTGCCTTTTTTAAAAGATGGCTGAATATCAATGGATTTGATAGCGTGTTAGATAGCAAATGGAGACAAATGGTTTTTAAGACTTGACATGCTGTTGGAGTATGAGCAAGGTAACATTTATGAAGGGATTCAGGGAAACTGGCAGGCCAAATTTGAGTCCTGGAGATGGGAAATACAGTGCCTGCACTCTGAAGGAGGGGTGTTAATGTTGTAGTTTTGTAACTAGTGTAAGCACACCTCTGACAAGACAGTGATGGAGTGAATGATGAAAGTTTTTCTTTTTTGGGCCACCCTGCCTTGGTGGAAAGTGGCTGATGTGTCGTTAATAAATAAAAATTTATAGTAGTATATGTTAAAAATTAAAGGTAGTAGGTTGGTAGACAGCAACCGCCCAGGGAGGTACTACCGTCCTGCCAAGTGAGTGTAAAACGTAAGCCTGTAATTGTTTTACACGATGGTAGGATTGCTGGTGTTTTTTTCTGTCTCATAAACATGCAAGGTTTCAGGTACGTCTTGCTACTTCTGCTTACACTTAGGTCACACTACACATACATGTACAAGCATATGTATACACACCCCTCTGGGTTTTCTTCTATTTTCTTACTAGCTCTTGTTCTTGTTTATTTCCTCTTATCTCCATGGGGAAGTGGAACAGAATTCTTCCTCCGTAAGCTATGCGTGTTGTAAGAGGCGACTAAAATGCCAGGAGCAAGGGGCTAGTAACCCCTTCTCCTGTATATATTACTAAATATGAAAGGAGAAACTTTTGTTTTTCCTTTTGGGCCACCCCACCTCGGTGGGATACGGCTGGTGTGTTGAAAGAAAGAAAGATATGTTAAATAGATATGCAGCCTCCACTTTAGTCTTAGACAAACTTTAGGCTCTTCTTCATCATTAGATCTATTGAGTTATATCTACCCAAAAAAAAAAGCTGTAACTCCATCTTTGTCACTCTAGCTTCTCATTGTGCCTTTATTCATTAGGCTGTCCTTGTGTAACAATATCAGTTCATCAGTCTCTGCCTCCCTCACATCATCAAAATCTTATCCTCCAACCTGTTGTACTATCATCAAAATAATTCTCATTTCCTTGTTAATGTTGGAAAAATTGCTAAAAGCATTGACTGCCTCTGGTCAAAAGTTCTTCCTACTTGTGTCAACATGTTTACCTCATGTTGAGGCTTTAGTGTGCAGTAGTGTAGGCCTTCCAACATGTACTCACATCAATCATTGGATCATTATCAGTTATGCAGCATCCAATAAACATAGCAAAAAGCATTAGTGGTGGTGCATTTAAAGGTAGAAATAGTGTCTTGGTTTAACAGTTGCAGTACAAAGATCTTTAACCCTTTGACTGTCACAAGCTCGATTCTGAAACTTCTTTCTATGTCAAAAAATATTCGAAAAAAAAAAAATTGTACCAAAATGTCTGGATTAATTTGCTGAGTGTTTTAAGCCTAAAAAAATTTTTGCGATCAGTACTTACCAAGACATAGAGGTGTAAAGTTGGCAGAAAATGAGCCATGTATGGCAACAGCAGCAAATGCCACTCACCCAGTAAACTTTTTTTTTACTCCCATTCGATAGTTTCTTGTTTTTTCTGCTACTTTGTTTTTTCAGGTAACTTATGTGGCCTGTGAGACCAAAGTAAGATGCAATGTACATATATACACTCTTTGTATGCAACACAATAAGCACACAAACATTCTCATCAGTATATTGTTTACAAAACTTGTTTACACAAACAATACAAAATTTTTTTATTACTATTGTTCTATAATATATATACAAATGTACAGTCACTGGACACTTTCCTAGAACTGCTGCAGCTTGTAGAATTCTTTGAAACATGGGTATATGCACAGTGGTATTTTACACTCCTCACACACAAAACGAATGTCTCTTCGTTTTTGTGGTGTGTGCACAGACATAACAACTCTTCTGAGTAGTTTTCTTGAAAGTAGTAGGAGGCAGCTGTATGGGGTAGTGATCACCAGGCCTCAGACGAGAGGGCATGTGTTGATAATTTCATGGTCACTTGTCTATTGCAGGTGTTGTTCCTTGTTACTTAAATATTATTTGTCTGATGACTGACAAACAAAATTCACCATACATTTTGGGTTTGTTGTTAGTCTTCAACTTGTACATATTACAGGTCTCCCTCAACATTTGTGAGGGTTAGGGGATCAAGAACCTCATGAATGTTGAAAAATCATGTAAGTTTGGTGCCCCAATATACTGTAGGGAAATATAATACAATACTGCTTCCTTAACCTATTGAACCATGAACAATCATAAAACACATGAAAACATCATAGAACATTGTACTAGTGCCAGCCCTTTGGTAAAAAAAGGTGAAAAAGACTATAGAATTCAAGAAAGAACTCGAAGCAGAGTACCAAAGTGGAGGAGGAAGAGAGAGGGGAGAATGTGCCTTCTTCAGTGATTCTGCGATATGTGCGATACTAAAGCAGCATGAATCGATGAAGGCTATAGCGCCAGCCAGCGATAAAATGTAGCATTAGCAGTGTAGCAAGTAAGTTAAGCTATTAATCAATGGAAAAAAGATAGCACGAACCTTACTCCTCCACTGTTGTTGGAGTTATATAGGGCGACTGACAACACCGCTGTGTCTACCGCCTCTGCTGGCCTTCACCACCATTATGTGCAGCTTAACGCTCTCAGTGGCCCTTATACACCCAACAACAACACAGCAACACTCGTTGTCATGTTTCTATGTTATTAATATTGTTTATTATGTCATATTAGATGAATTGTGAGAGATAAGCCGTAGAGTTGGTATTAGTGTCATATTGAAGGACTATCTTGTCCTATCTCCAAACAAACTCTGCCACCGCCACAATTTCTAACCTATGTAATGACATATTTTAACCCTTAAACTGTCCAAACGTAGATCTATGCTTTTTCAACATTTGAAAGTATGTAAAAAAAGGTAGATTTTTTTTTATTTTTTTTTTTTTTTACTTTTTTTTTTTTTTACTTTTTTTACTTTGTTTGTTTGTTTGTTTGTTTGTTTGTTTTTGAAAGCTTGTAAAAAAACTTTGATCTGCTTTTTTTATATATATATATATATTTGAAAATATGTAAAAAAATGTAGATCTACTTTTGGAGCACTATACATTTGAACGTAGATCTGTGTTTGGACAGTTTAACCCTTACAGGGTTTTTGACGTACTAGTACAGCTTATGCACCAGGGTTATTGACGTACTAGAACGCCTAAATTCTAGTGCCTTCAAATCCAGCGAGAGAAAGCTGGTAGGCCTACATATGAAAGAATGGGTCTATGTGGTCAGTGTGCACAGTATAAAAAAAAATCCTGCAGCAAACACTGCTGCAGGATTTTGGATTAAAACAGCGACTTTGCACTGTAATTTTGTATGGTATTTATGGTTGTATTCTAGTTTTCCTGGTCTCATTTTATAGAATGGAAGACATATTACAGAAATTGAGATGATTTTGACTGGTTTCACAATGAAAAGTACCTTGAAATTGAGCTCAAAGTAGCAGAAATGTTTGATTTTTACCAAAGTTCAAAAGTAAACAAATCATGCCAAGCGTCCAATACACATCAGCTGGCGAGTCTAATATTCTTTCACAAGTGCGTTGATATTATTTATACCATTTCTACACTAATGCAGTAGTCTGCATAACAGTAAATCTTCTATTTTTTGTGCAAATAAAAATTCAAAGTGAAAAGCAAAATAAATATAAGAGGGGCCTGGGGACGTGACTAATGAACAGAAAACTTGTTATTTTAGTGCCAGGAATGTCTGTCTTGTTTATTCTGGACCAAATTTGGAAATTGGCATCTTCTGAAATTTGTGTGAAATTGGCAAAATTGCCAATTTCTAACCACTTTAATGGATAGTTGAAATTGGAAAATGGGTGGTTTCTTGTACTCATTCGATAGAAAAAATGGAGTTCTAGCGAAATAAATATGATTTTTGTCAACTTGTACAGAGGAATTGGCCAAAAATAGGGCTCAAAGTGGGCAAAATCGCCGATGCATAAACACCGGCGAGACCGCTAACTTCACGAGAGCATAATTCCATAAGTTTTCCATTAAATTTCATACTTTTGGTGCCATTATGATCGGGAAAAGATTCTCTATCATTTCATAAGATTTTTTTTTTTTTTTTCAACAAAATTTTCAACCCTGAGAACAAGTTTAGGAGAGGGCCTCTCCACCCTGAAAGGGTTAAGGGTTAAATATGATTGGGCGGCTGGGAATTCGCTAATGTTCGAAACCCGCAAAAGTGGGGGACCTGTATAAGCATTCATCATGGAAATATCAAGATGTTGGGAGGGTTCGTGGAGATGTGATGGTTGGAGTTAAACACACTTGTTGGATGGTAACACTTACATTAGTAGAGTGTGGGAGGGGAGCCCAGACTGCCTGTGTTGCCTGTTCGTAGACCGAAGTGCGGAGTAAGGAGGAAGCCAGGAGCGCAGCGCTCACATGCGGCATCACATGACATCACACATGCTAGTCACTGAGCCTAGCCAGGGGTCAACTGCTACAGTTGTAACCTTCCACTAGTGTAGCCATGACCTTGGTGAAAGAATTGTGTTTGCCATAGTGTACTTGTAGTATGTGTTGCTTTCACTGACAATAATTTCCAGCAGGGGTTCATCGAAGAATAACTGAAAGCATTCCAGTTCAGTGGCATTGTTCCCAAGTATACACGATGGCTGTACATGTATTCCACTTTGTGTTTCATCAAATTCATGGGGATTGGGAACAAAATTGGCACCTTCCTGCCAATCCCAGATGCGGTCTGCTGGTGGGTACCGGATATTGACAAGTGGTTGTGGTTGCGCAGGTTGTGGGAGTATGGGGGTGGTTGAGGCTAGTTGTGACTGTGCTGAGTTAGCAGCGTGGCCCGGTGCTGGTACCACATGACTCGTGCCACTGTCAACACCCACCACCTTCTGCCCCATGCACATTACGCATCCCCATTGTAACAATATTGTCATCTTCACTATTAGTTCATGGTATAGAGCCATGGGATGTACTCAAAGATTTACTCCCTTTCCTTGGAATGGCATATGGCACACTACCAGAACGCATGCTGCGTCATACATACTGCCGCTTCACTGAAGAATATTCCCCCTCACTGTCACAACTCGAACTGCTTTCAGTAGCTTGGTAATCACTATCACTTTCACTGCTCACATCCAAGTCCTGTACACGGGGAAATAGTTTCCTCTTTCGTCCTGGTACAGGTGAATGTGAATGAGACGGCCCTGGGCACTGCTTTCGGTTGCACTTTCCTGAAAAACCATGGAATTCACTTTCACTGTCACTTCTATTGGTGTTAGAACTATCACTTGGGAACAGAAGACCTCCAATTCGGTGAGGAGTAAGGTACTTCTTACTGCGAGGCATCATGAACAAGGACTACTAAAATAGCATTCCCACAATGCACCACTGAGTCCCCGATTTTTTTCATACTGAGCACACCCATCACGCAGACCCATTCTCTCACATGTAGGCCTACCAGCTTTCTCCCGCTTGATTTGAAGCCGCTAGAATTTACGCATATTAATACATCAAAAACATCGGCTCATAAGACGTATGTATACGACCAAAACAGTCAAAGGGTTAAATGACAATTTCTTTATTTAAGTTTTGAACCAGTGATTGCATTATAAGTACAGTTGCTTTCACCACTGGTGCTTTCAAAGTGATCATTCAATCACTTTGCTTCTGTAGGTATGATTGAACCTATGAATGGAGGATTCTTTTGAAGCATGTCTTCAATCTGCACATTTAGGCCACTTGTACTCCACTTAATTTCAGTGTGTTGTTGTTCCTCTTGAGACCAGAACCATCTTCCCTATTTATTTTGTGCTAAGATCTTATGGTGCTGGGTGATAATTAAAACAAAAATACAGTACAAATATAGCACAATGAAGAGATGAGCAAGTGTAGGGCAGAGCAGTATGTTTGCCTCTTGGAACAAAAATTTTGCAGTTTCTGCAAAACAGAGCCAAACTGCATTGCACAGACATGTCTGCATGAAAATGTACAACCTAGTTATGGTTTGTAACAAATTTCATATTTCCATATAAAAAAAAATTGAAATACTGGTGCACCTGCACAATATTACATTCATACTTTATATTAAAAAAAGTTTTTTCTTTGTGTATTTACCTTTTTTGTCTTGTGGGCATTGGCTGCTTCCCAGTGGACAGTACCTATTTGTGGTACAGTATGTTTGTAAGTAAAAGGGTTTACTGTACACTACTGTACTGGGAATCATCTACAGTCACAAGGTTCCTGCATAGAATTCACAGAAATGTTGATGTCAGTGAGGGCTCTTGATACAAGGAATTGGACCTGTTATCCCTTAACTTGAAATGAACCTGATTGCCTCTTATTCCACATATGCTACATGTACGACCTCTATAGGTGTAGCATTTCCCTGTAAATATAATAATATATAATTGGAGTTGAGTGCTAATTTTATTATTTTGCTATTTCAATACAAAGGAAAATTGCATTCCATTATGTAATTTTTTTTATCTGAAATTGGGGTTTGTGTAAGCCTTAGTGTAAGTGATAGAAATATCAGTAGTAAGAATGAAGCTAAGTGATGAATACAGTACATTATTATGCTTGTCAAACAATATTTATCTTTTAAATTTATAAGAACATTTGTCTTCTGATTTGAAGTTTCTGTATGAAATATTATTAAAGTGTAATGTTACATCTAGTCCAATAAAGTGATAACTAACCAGAGATTTTTGTATCAGTTGTTTGACACTGGTTATCATTGATTTACTTGGGGACTGGGGAGGATTTGACCTCATGGATGCTATCCCAAAGCTAGTAGGCCAATACTTTAACCACATCATGCTGGTCTCTTAAGATTTTATCCAACTATGTACTGTATGTTTCTACCTAAAGTGTTGATAGCTGAACAAGTTACAGTAGTAATGAGCTGTATGACCCTTGTGGGTTTAGTGCTTAGCTTTGATTGCACTGCTAATAATACAGTGGTAATGAAGTAATTACATGCATATATCAGGTTACAGCTGTCTTGGTGGGATACGGCCAGTTTGTTGAAAAAAAGTAGTTTTCAATTATTTATATTACCTTACATTTTAGCAACGTATTGTTGTATTTAAACAAATTTATGTGGTTATGAGTTATTTGCAACAGGCAAAGTTATTGTATTTTTCTAGAATGGTAATATGCCACTGTGATAAAATACATTGACATTGTATGAATATTTTTGAGTGAGTTATCTCCAAATTTATTCATTTTATCTCATTCCAGCAAGTTGTGACAATAGCTCATCTGGCAGAGTTTACATTTAATTATGTCTATATCAGATAGTGATGCAACCTCCCAGAGATACTTGTAGCCCAGCTGGAGCTGGCAGTAATGACATCAGGACTTCTGTAAGACATCAGGTGTTCAACACATCTCCAGAGAATCTCCTGAGTTGTTCTGGCACTTGGTCTGGGGCCTGAGTGCCAGGAATGGCTCAAATGGAGTTGAAAGACTCACTGGACTGACTGGTGCCAGTTTCATTTCATTGAAGTTCAACTGAAGTTCTTTTCATATTATTTTCCTCAAACTAACACAGCACAAGATTGAAATCTACTTTCTCCTTGAAGGCATATGACTTAGCCAGTTCATAAGTTCTATTACGCATATGGAGACCAATGTGAAATGGAATCAACAGTGTACTCTGACTTCGCTGTCTACAATCCTACCACACCTGTGTCTGGCTTCTGACACAACCATACCACATTTGACACTCGAGAAGTTAGTGTGTTTATGCATGATACAGAATCAGTTGGTAAGACATATAGGCAACAGTTAGGCATCTTTAATCTGAAACATTTTGCCTACACAGTAGGCTTCTTCAATCAAGTACAGAAAGTAGGCAGAAGCAGTAGAGAACACAATGTAATTAGTACATCACGATTGAAGATGTAGATTTGAGGTTGTCAGTCCCTCAGCCTGGAGAAGTGTTCTGTTCCATAGTCTGAAACGACATGAAAATCAAGCGACAGTGTGGAGACTTATATATGTACTGTCAGAAGGAGAGGAGTAGTAGAAGAAAGAATGTAATCATTGAGAGATCACATTCCTCTCAGGTCCAACCATTCTCACTTGAAAAAGTTGTCCAAGGTGTTTTCTCTTCTGTACTCGATTGAAGAAGCCTACTATGTAGGCAAAATGTTTTGGATTAAAGATGCCTAACTGTTGCCTGTATGTCTTACTTACCAACCTGTTGGTATTGTATACCATTTTGATATTCACAGAATCGGTTACAATTAACATGTTAACCTTAGATATATAGACACATTGGAGTGCTAGGAGTTTATTAAACAATTCAGTTTGAAGAGGACTAGCCCAATTGTTGATGCATCCTCCAGTTACCATATGATAACAGCATTAGTAGCTGCACCAGTGGATTGGTGACCAGAGCAGAGTCAACATACATAATTTATGGGAGAGTGCAGTGACTAAGGCATCAGTACAATTAAGGCATAATACTTGGTTGTTGAGGTGGTTCGGACATGTAGAGAGAATGGAGCGAAACAGAGTGACTTCAAGAGTGTATCAGTCTGTAGTGGAAGGAAGGCGGGGTAGGGGTCACCCTAGGAAAGGTTGGAGGGAGGGGGTAAAGGAGGTTTTGTGTGTGAGGGGCTTGGACTTCCAGCAGGCATGCGTGAGCGTGTTTGATAGGAGTGAATGGAGACAAATGGTTTTTAATACTTGACGTGCTGTTGGAGTGTGAGCAAAGTAACATTTATGAAGGGGTTCAGGGAAACCGGCAGGCGGACTTGAGTCCTGGAGATGGGAAGTACAGTGCCTGCACTCTGAAGGAGGGGTGTTAATGTTGCAGTTTAAAAACTGTAGTGTAAAGCACCCTTCTGGCAAGACAGTGATGGAGTGAATGATGGTGAAAGTTTTTCTTTTTCGGGCCACCCTGCCTTAGTGGGAATCGGCCAGTGTGATAAAAAAAAAAAAAACTTGGCTTCAATTCCTTTTCAAGGGGAGCTCCTTGACGCACTGAAGAGGTTCTTGGTCTGAGAAATTACCGTATTTCATGACTTATAAGACTTGTTGCGCTGTATGACCCTTGTCTGTTCAGCGCTTTCTTTGATTATAACATAAGACTTGATTGAGTTTCAATGGCTTGGCATTGGTGTAACTGGGAGAGATGCAGCCCACCCCACACCACAAATTTATAGCTCTCATCACTGACCTTCAGTTTATAGGACACAGGGTGGTTTTTGGAGACATTTTATGGAAAAATAACATGTGCCAAATAAGCCGCAAAATACTATAGACATTTTGGTTTCTTTTCTCAGACCTAACCTAATTACCCCCCAATTCCCCCTTCCGTATCCCATCCCTCCTTTTCCCTGTCCCGTTTGTAGCCTCTGGGATCCTCCCCTCTGGCATTACGGTTTCTAGGTAGGGGGAAGTGTGCCGGGATTCATCCCACTCCGTGGGGTTCCTTGGGAGTGGTGTAGTTTGCTGTGGAATCTGGATCATCTGGAGGCACCCAGCTTCCTTCCCAGATTTCCAGGTGGGGGGCAGAGTGTCCTGCAGGTGACGGGTGTATCTCCAGAGGCTGCCTGTCAGTTCTGGGAGGTGGCAGCCAAAGAAGGTATGCTTTGTGGCAGGTATCTGACTGCCCTCTCTTTTGTTTGCCGAGGTGGCTCGGTGGATGTGAGATTGCTATCCCGGAGCACTGATTTACTGGCTTGAAGGGTAGGGTATGGCACGGGTTCCATGCTGCATTTACACTGCTGGTGGTATCAAGATCCTCTAGGATGAGAGGAAGAACTTACAACCCTTTCATGCCTTCTAGTAACTGTCCCTGTGCTGTCCCTCTTCCTTTTTTTTTCTTTGCTCCTTTCTTATTTTTCCTTAAATTGATAATAAAGAGGTTCCACCATCATGGAGTCTTCGTTCTATGACCCCCCCCTCCTCCCAGGCTCCTTTCTGTTACTGCACCCTGTTCTGACCTGGCTTTGTTATTGGATCATTCTCCAGACTTTTCCCATACCCCTGTACCTCCTGCTGGTGACGCTTCGTCACCTGCTCCAGGTGCTGAGGCTTTGTCCATTTCCTCTAGTGCTTCTATCTCTTGCACGTCTTTACCTATGCATCTGGCTTCTCCAAATACAGTGTGATGATTTTTGGATCGCCCACCTGCCTCAGGTCAGGCCGCCCACGGTCAAATGCCTAAACGGTCCAGACCATTTGCTGATGACGTTCCTTCAATTTCTGCTCATTCCACTCAGAAGTGTTCGCAAGTACACAGTGGACGAAATTCTTTACCTTGCAACCAACATCTCCAACTGATTATCTTTCAGACCACAGTATTGGTAAAGCTCTTTTATGACAAATTGGCCAAAATATAACCTTTCACACTCTTCAGAGCAGTGCACGCATCGTTACTGTTCAGAATGCAGGCCAAGCTCATGATCTTTCTCATCTTACTTCCATTGATAACGTTCTTATCACAGTTCACAAGCACGCTACCCTCAGTTCTTGCAGTGGTATGGTGGTCTTACCGTGTACAATTGTACATTGTGATTTTCTGTCTTGCGGTGGTATTTTAGAGCAATTAGCCCTTCAGGACCTTCCGATTCTCAGAGTGGATATATATGTCCTGCCCACTCGCGGGTGGAAGTGCTTTCCCAGTAACATCGCCCACTTAACCTTTGATTGTTGTGAACTCCCATCCTCCATTTATATTGTGGGCCATCACCTAGAGGTTCATAAAGTGGTCCCTACACCCCAACAGTGTCGAAATAGTTGACACTTTGGACATCCAGCTAAATACTGCAAGTCTGTGGTAGAGTGCCCAGTCTGTGGTGCCGTGGATCATGCTGATATATCTTGCAATCTTCCCCCCACTTGTCTTAATTGCAACAAAACTCGCCCTTCTTACCGCCGATGACAGGTCTATCTTATTGAACGTGAAATCCGTTGTCTTAAGGAGAGTGAGAGCCTTCTTATGCTATGGCTGTCTCTCAGCTCCGCCTTCAGGGGAATCTTCCCTGTGTTTCTTGCTCTTGAGTAGCTAGGAGACCTCCAACTTGGCAGTCCCCCTGCCTACCAGTTCCTCCAGTGCCGTGTCTTCAGGGGTCACCCCCATCTCTAATTCTTTTGTGGTTTTACCCTCTGAAACCCCCACCTCCTTACCTCATCCTACCTCTACTTCTTCATCTCGCCTGCTAGTTTCTCAGTTTGTGAGGCCTCGCACACCTGCATCTTCGCGCCTATCACCTGCGAAGTTGAACCCATCTCCTAAGCCCAAGTCTCTTCGCATTCCTCTGGTGCTTACAATTCCCCAACAGTTTTCCTTTTCAGCCTCAGTGCCTAGTTCTCACCACCTTTCTCTCACACAAAGGTAAGTAAGTAAGTTTATTCAGGTATACACAAATACAGTTACATAGAATTATCATACATAGCAGCATATGTGTAGAGAACCTAGGATAACCCAAAAAAGTCAGACAGTGACTTATTTCCATTGGGGTCCTTTGTTATTTCCATTGGAGGTTCACCCCCCTCACATGGTCCCCTCTTCTGTTATCCCCTCAGACTTCTTCCCCAGTTCCCTTCCAGCCTCCTTCCTCTCCTGTTCCATCGCAAGACTCTTCTGTCCCTGCTGGTGCATCTCTCCAGGTTCATACTCCCCTTCCCTCTCAGACCTCTTTGGTTCCCTCCATAGTCACCACGATCTCTACTTGTTCTACCTC